ATTATCAATCCCTTTAACGTCAGTGATATATATCTTAACAAACTTATCTGACTGATCCCAGCCTGATAACAAGTGGAAATAGAACAAATATTAATTAATAAAATTATAATAATAGATCTAAAATAATCCTCCAATTACCATAAGATGTTATTTTCGTGCTCGTCAAGAGCTGCTTCTTATGTGTTGTGGTCAGAGGCTTCATTGAGACTTCTTTTATTTCCTCTCCATTTTGCTCATTACTGGACTTCTTCAGGGCATTGTTTAATAAAGAGATAGTCTCTGGGTGCTTTGCTAAAGTAAGCAAATATTTCAGTTCCTCGACATGTGACTATCAAAAAGAAAAAATAATGATTAGAATGTTACACTAAGTCCACACCATTTTAAAAGCTTACCATTGGCACTGAATCGTCTACCTCCATTTCCATTTTGATAATTATTATGCTTCAGGCTTCTGACTTTAGTAAAAATTTATATATAAAGGCTAAGTAGAGAATAAGTTAGAATTATCTGGAAGCTCCAGGCACCACCCTTACAACCACACCTATAATGGATGACACGTGTTTGCATTTTTGCAAGAATGCACTGCGAATTTTATACCTACTTCCGGCATGGGTGTGTAGTGTAGTCTTTCCAGTTCAAGCTCATCGAAGAAATGGTAGTTTCTTTGTTTCTCTGTTACATTATTATTAGTGTACCATCTTATAGGATGACGGATTTATGCTTTTTGCTGATGATAGGGCGGCAGAGCTGAAGGTCCACTGCCCTCTCTGTAAGAAGGTGTACATCGATCCATTTATATCTACCTGTGGGGTAAGAGAGGGGGAGGAATAGTATTATTCACTTTATCTCTTTCTCTCTAGCATACTTTCTGTTTAAAATGTATCAAAGATAACGCAGGTGATATAAAATTTAAGACGAATAACTGATGAATGCATTTTTATTGATTTGTTAGGGGAGTGTCCGCTTGATGCTATCAAATTTTCACCAGTTGTCAAAAATATCGCTGTATGCTCCTCCACTCATTTAGCCATTAATTATTTTCAGTTCTCCCTCTCTCCTTCCCTCTTTTTTAAGGTTTATGAACAAGTTGGTGAACTATTGGTCCATTGTTGCTATGGTGTTGTTCTTAAAGATGGCCATGCCCATCCTGTGGTCGATACAAATGGTATGATAATGTTACATGATTTTCATGTGACTTTACAATTGTGCAGGTTGCCAGGCAGTCATTAAAATCAGCGAAAAACAGTGAGTCATTTATTTATTTATTTTTATTATTAAATTTTCTTGTAGCGAACACGAAGAAAATTGTGAGTTTAAGCCAATCTCCTGCCCTAATGATGAAGAATGTCCGAAAATGTTTAGAAAGGTCAGTGTGGTGTAATTAACTA